AGTCTCTGTGAGTTTGAGGGTAGCCTGGTCTACAAAGCAAGTCTCTGGACAGCCAGGGTTATTTTCCAGAGAAACCCTGTCTCCAAAAACCAAAACCAAACCACAACAAACAAATCAGGTGGTGGTGCATGCGTTTAATTCCAGTACTCAGGAGGCAGAGACAGGCCTGGTTTTTGGTTTCTCTGTAGCCCTGGCTGTCCTGGAACTCGATTTGTAGACCAGGAGAAGACAGGTTACAGTGACATTCCTTAAAGAACACAGCATATGAGATATTAGATACCACCATGGTTTTTTTTCCAAAGTGTGCCTTAAAGATTCTCCTTCTCCTCTTCTCCCCTCCCTCAGCTACTCCTGACCCACCCCACTTGTAGCCCTTTCCTGACGACCCCTTCCCTCCCTCCTGTCCCTCGGGCCCTCTCACCCACTCCTGTCCATCTTCAGCACCTATTTCACCCCTCTTGATCTCCTTTCTAATTCCTCAAGCCTAACTCTTTCAACTTTATTCCTCCTCTCCCTTTTCTTTTTTTAAAAATGAATTCATTTTTTAAATTTATTAGTTTTTGTTTTATATGCATTGGTGCTTTGCCATGGGTGTTAAATCCCCTGGAACTGGAGTTACAGACAGTTGTGAGCTGCCATGTGGGTGCTGGGAATTGAACCCAGGTCCTCTGAAAGAGCAGTCAGTGCTTTTAACCACTGAGCCATCTCTCCAGCCCCCTCTCCCTTTTCTTGTTTCGAAACAGCATCTCATGTAGCCCACAGTGGCTTTGAACTTGCCAAATCTGGCTCCGCTCTCCTGAGCCTCTGGCTGTGTCTCCTGGGTGCTGGGAACCCCGAGGAGCACCACAGCTGTCTCACTTGATGGTCCCCTGACTGCGGAGCTGGTGACATTCTCACAAGGGTGCCTTGTGAGCTTGACTGTGACAGGCCGGATCTGTCACAGGAGCATTTAGTAAATGTGAAACCACTCAGCCTACCACGAGGACTTGGCAAGTGGCCGGAGTGGAGGAAACAAGCAAGAGAGGCGGACGGGTCCCTAAGCGCACGGCAAACACCTATGAATGACTCCTTTTAAGACAGCCTAGAAGGGACTCTGGCGGGTGGGAGCCAAGGCAGGGCCCCGGGAACCAGGAAGTCACACCCGCGTTAATATTTAGAAAGCTGTGGGGTTGTAACAGCCCACTCTCCGTGTGGCTCAGCCATGCGAACATCTGAATAGGCTCTTTGACACAGCCACACCCAGCTCTGGTCCTCGCCAGGACCCTTAGTAACACTTCCGTGCTTTGCCTGTGTCTTCCATGTACATGGATTTCCCCCACAACAACAGGGAGTGTTGTGTATCTTTCTGTCATCCTCCTGCCTCAGCTCCGGCTCCCTTTCCAGTGCAGAGGTGTGCAGTCGGTACGGCTCCCTTTCCAGTGCAGTGGTGTGCAGTCGGTACTTGGAGTTTGAACTGAATCTCCCTGGCCACTCCGATGAAGCCTTATTTTACCGTGCATGCAGTCCTTTGGGCAGACTTCTTTTCCTCCCTGCTTTCTTGCCTTCCCTCCACAGATGCCTGTTTCGTTTGTTTCCATTGGTCCGACAGCCAATCAGCTCCAGGACCTTCCATACAGCCTTAGAGATGACGTGGGCCTTTTGCTGGAGTCCCCAGTGCCAACCTCCCTGAGCTTGCTGCTTTTGCCCAGTAGCAAGACCGGTCGGCAAGTAACAGGTGACTCTGTAGGGCCGTCTTTCCGTGCCAGGATTTTGCTCCAATCCTCAAATCTTTCAGTGGCCCAGGAGCCCCGCTAGGTAGGTTCTGTTCTGCTTGCCTCCCACTGCAACTGTTCCGGCCCCTGCAATCCTACGTGGATTGCTTCAACACCTGCGTCCTGATGAGTCTACCTGCTGCTGGCTGTGGTAAGATGTATTGGCCATTATGTCAGATTCATGGTTAGCTTCCTACCTAGGCCACCACCTGATACAATAGTCTTCTAGGGACAGAGGCGAGAACAAGGCCAGGGAAACAGACCGTGATAAACTCCAGTAGAGCACCACCCACATGAGCTGGGTGAGTTGCTGCTGAATTTGGGCGTGTCTCCTTTAGATCTAGGAGAAATGGTCCTTCTCCACCTTGACTTTCATTATACTTGAATGTTCACAGGCACACACACACACACACACACACACACACACACACAAGCATGTACATGCGTGAGCATGCACAAACAAATTTAAAACATTAAATAGCCTAGTGGTGATGACACAGGTTTTTAATCCCAGCACTCGGGAGGCAGAGGCAGGCAGATCTCTGAGTTCAAGGCCAGTCTGGGCTAGAGTGAGTTCTGGAACAGTCAAGGTTACACAGAGAAACCCTGTCTTGAACTCCTCCTCCAAATTAAAAATGACTGGTTGACTAAGCTGTAGCCATCAAGATCATTCATTCATTTGTTCACTTGCCCAGGGCAACAGGAGATCAACACTGAGCTTCCTCCAGGCTGGATGCTTTCTCCACCCCACTTCTGTTTCCCTGGAAACGCTGCCTGATCCGGTCAGTTGGAGTTCTAAGAATCTGTCTGGTCTGGGAGCTGTCTGATTCATGAATTCTTTGGTTTTTGCCTGTTCAGATAACTCTACCAGATTCAACTGGTCTAAGCAATTTTCCTTTTTAAGACTTTGGGGCTGGGCCAGGCGGTGGTAGTGCACGCCTTTAGTCCCAGTACTCAGGAGGCAGAGGCAGGTGGATGCCTGTGAGTTTGAGGCCACCTGGTCTACAGAGTGAGTGCCAGGATAGGTTCCAAAGCTACATTGAGAAACCCTGTCTCAAAAAACAAAACAAACAAACAAAAAAGTCTTTGGGGCTGTAGATTGCTCCATGCCTCCTAGACAGGGGCTCACAACCTCTGTAACTCCAGTTCTATGGGATCCAAGCCTCTTTGGTTTCAGGCAAAACACATACACATAAAAAAATAAAAACAAGTCATTTACACAGCTGCAAAGCTGCAGCTCTGGATTAGCAGGCAGGAAGGTGCAGTCGCAGGAAGGTGCAGTCGCAGGAAGGTGCAGTCGCCCGTGCGCTCATGGCTGCAGTACCCTCGGTCCTGTGGCGGCTGTCAGTCTTGACAGTGTATCCTTTTCTAATCTATGCTTCTCTGTGAATAAGTAATCTTGCTACTTCTGCAAATCTGACCAGCTGCAACACAGCCACAAGGCACGTGATCTCTTGGAGTGGATTGTGGTGTCCACCTGGGTTAGACAAACTTAACCACATCTAGGATTTGAGATTTCTGCATCTGGGATTCCAGCTACTCTCATGAATTAGAATTGATAGAATCTGCACTTTTCCTGGAAAAAACGGATGGCACAATTTGGAATTACAGTGACCACAGAGTGGAAGGAAGCTTTGGCTTTCGATGATGTCTATTTGTGGGGTTCACTGGAAAAGGAAGGTGCAAGTTACAGCAGCCCTTTAAAGCAGAAGAGGCAAAACTATTTGTGTCTATGTAACAAGCTCTCCTCAGACACTTCTGCCTACATAGGCTTGCGTAAGCTCTCATGTAGCAGACGCTGGTGTTGGACTTGTGATCTGACCACCACACCAACAGCATGGATAACAAGGCTTCAGATGCAGGGCAGATCTGTGTAGAGGAAACATTAACAGAATCATTGTATCTAGGTTAAACATCTGAATGAACAGTTGTTTTCTAGAAGTACTTAGACCTTGAAGAAATCATTGTGGAAAACAGTGATTGTTTGGTGTTATCTATGGAGTTCGTTTTCTGAAAGAGCGTTACAGCCTTTGTATGCTTTGGTCACAAGATGGTCCTGGCACACCTGGATGTCTTGAATAATTGGTTACTGCAAACTGTACACAATAAGGACTGAAGTTACAGGCTTGTGATGTTTCCCTTCAGAGAACATACAGATTACATCAGGGGCTTTGGTATGAAGACTTGTTTTACCCCAAAACCAACTTTTGTGTAACAATCAATAAACAGACTTTTGCTCAGCAGTCTGTCCCTGCTGCCAGAGAGTCTAAAATTCATCTTGGAGAGACCCTCTTTCTTCAACTGACCCACACAGCACAGGACACCTGACGGGTCTGTAGAGAAGGGTGGAGAGAGCTGGGCACAGACACGCAATCCCAGGCCCTAGCAATCAGGAAGATGGCTGTGGATTCAGAGTTAGCCTGGGCTGTGTGGTGAGACTTGTTTCACAAAAGCAAAAATGAACCTGAGCTAGAGAGAGAGAGAGAGAGAGAGAGAGAGAGAGAGAGAGAGAGAGAGATGATGGTGATGATGAATAGAGGTCACTTCCTAAATTCTGGACATTCTCCCTCCATGGAATCATTATCCAAAATGCAACTATTAAATAAAAATTGTGTAGTGCTGGAGATAGCTCACTGGTTAAGAGCACTTACTGGTCTTCCAGAGGACCTGAGTTCAGTTCCCAGCACCCACATCTGATGGTTCACAACTGTCAGCTCCAAGAGGATCCCATGCCTCTTGCCTCCAACCTCCGCAGGCACCTGCATTCATGAGCACACACATACATGTAATTTAAATAATGAAAATAAATCTTAGTTGTGTAGGGTTGGAGATGTAGCTCAGTTGGTAAAATGTTTCCCTACCATGAATGAAATGTTGGATTCAGTCTCAAGCATCACATAAAAGCTAAGTTACGGAGCATCACATGGGAGCTACAAGCAGGAGGACCAGAAGTTCAAGGTCATCCTCAGATACTTAGCAAGTTTAAAGACAGTCCGGACAACGTGAGATTCTGCCTCCAAAATAGAAATAACTCCCCATCCCTTGGTTTTTTTCAAGACCGGGTTTCTCTGCATAACAGCCCTGGCTGTCCTGGAACTCACTTTTTAGACCAGGCTGCCCTTGAGTCTGCCTCCCAAGTGATGGGATTAAAGGTGAATGCCACCACACTGGGCAATATATATTTTAAATTATGGGACTAGGTGCCTGTAGTGGTTCAAATGAACCAACCAGCCTAGACTTTAATCACAATAGTGGGCTTTTGTTGGGTATAAGACACCTAGTGGCCAATGCACTAAAGAACTCTTTGACACCTAACTAAGCTGTGCAGTGTTAAGGCGTTCCTGTGCTCTGCTGTCTATGGATGCTGCACGATCTGGTTATTGGTTGGAGACCTCAGAACTGGTTCTGCTTGTGGGACTTGCCTGATCCTGAGCTCTTCTCTGCTCAGATAAGCTTCACTAGAGTGCACTGGGTGAAGGACTGTTCCTTTCAGCTCCAGCATAATATGCTTTTGTCCTGTAATACTCTTCCAGCCAGGGTGGTGTTGCAAGAAGCCCCACTTGCTAATGAATAGCAGGTGCAGGGAAAGGAAGTCTGGGTCTGTTTTTGCTCACTAGCAACACCTGCTTCTCTTTTTGGTACAGGGAATCAAACCGAGGGCCTCACAAATACTAGGTAAGTACCCCCAAGTTATACCTGTGGCTTATTTTTTTTAAAGACAAGGTCTCATTAAGTTACCTAAGCAGGGCTTGATGTTGAAATATTTCTGTCTCAGTCTCCTGAGTAGCTGAGATTACATGCTTGCACCAGGCCTGGTTGGGTATGAACTCTTAAAATAATAATAGTTATTATGATTACAGTTGCGTGTGAGAGGATGTACGTGTGGATGTCAGAAGACCACTTTGTAAGCCGGTTCTCTCCTTCCACCTCTACTTGAGTTCTGGGGTAGAACAAAGGTCGCCGGACTTGCTCAGCCCGCACCTGTACCCCCTGAGCCCTCTCACTGGTCCAAGCTGTAGACTTTTGAGCAGCTTCAGTTCCAGTTGTTCACCCCGCTCCTGTCAGTCAGGGTGCTCCGTCTGCACCTTCGGGGTGGAAGGGTTAGTTAGGACTTTATTGTCAGCATCCACATAAAGAGCTGCCCATGGGAGCCCGTGCCTGAAACCCCAGAGTGGGAGGGGACGCTGGTGGATCTCTGGAGTTCTCTGGCCAGCCTGCCTGATCAGTTGATGAGCTCCTGTCTTAGTGAGAGATCCCAGAAGATGGGAACCAAAAATTAAAAAGAAAAAGAAAGATGAGGGCCTGGAGAGACAGCTCAGTGGTTAAGAGCACTGGCTGCTCTTCCAGAGGACTTGTATCCAATTCCCAGCACCCACATGGCAGCTCACAAGTCTGTAACTCCAGTCCTAAGGAATGTGATGCCGCCTTCTGAGCTCCTTGGGCACACACACACACACACACACACACACACACACACACACACACACAGGCAAATCACTCAAACATTGAAAAAATCTATAAAAGGAAATACACAAACAAAAATGAGGGAGAACAAAATAAACAAAAATAGCTGGGTGTGGTGATGCACACCTTTAATCCCAGCACTGAGGCAGAGGCAGGTGAATCTCATATGTGTAACATAGGAGCAGAAACATGCCTAGGTGTGCTGTCTGGTGAATTTTATATAAAGTAAACACACATGTTACTCAGTTTGAGTAGTAAGTAGGGCTTTAGTTGTAACCCCGAAGTTTTCCTCATGCTCCCACCCCATTCCCAGTTACTAGTCCTGGCTTCCCAGACATTACATTCATCTCGCTTGTTTCTGAGTGTCATTTCTGATGGTTGACACTGTTCACCTATTTATGTATGGTTATATAAATGTCCCACCGTTACCCATTCCCTGTTGTCTGAGTTTGGGTTGCTTCCAGATTGGCCTGTTACAAACCGCACTGCTGGCCTGGGGTTCGTGGCACACAACTTTAATCCCAGCACTCGGGAGGCAGAGGCAGGCGGATCTGTGAGATCGAGGCCAGCCTGGTCTAGAGTACAAGTACCACGACAGCCAGGACTACACAGAGAAACCAACTCTGTCTCAACAAATAAAACCCAAACGAACAAACAAAAACAAATTACACCGCTGTGGGTATGTAGTGTGCTCGTCTTTGGCATTGCATGCATGCTGGGCACAATAAAAAAAAAAAGTTCTCGCTCCCAATGCATACATGCATTCATCACTAATGGACACTGGAGACAGCCACTAAGACAGTGAGAGTCTATTATTGAAAAGGGAAAGAACACGGAGCCAGCATCAGGCCCCAGATCTTTGGTCACCTCCCAGGTTTTGCTCACAGGAAGCCGAAGCAAACCACTTACCCTCTGTGCTTCCTCAGCTGTAAACTGGAAGTAATTAATGCCTTCTCCCCTGGCTCCGTGATGGGAGAGCCCTCTGCAAACACTCGCAGAGCACACATGTGAGCTGTTATTAAAGTGGAAGCTTTTAATTATCAATGAGAACTGAGGGACTGCTGTGGGTTTCCATGTCTAATTAAGAGCCCAGATCAGATGCAGCCGCTCTGCTAAGCACAGCTGCTCTGCCAGGCACCACGGAGGGATTCTCAAACATACCCGAGCTCCGGCTGGGCGGTTCCTCTCAGTTTCTTCTTTCAGTTGCCGGATACTCCTGCTTTCTACTTTCCTCCAGCGCCAGCACGAGTATGGCTGGTCTGGAAAAACCACCTGGCTGGGGTCTGCCTGGTTGGAGGAACCATATCTCTCTGGGGAAGCCACAGGGCAGAGTCGGTGCAGGCCTTTTGCCCACTATTAACACAGTGACTCAGTATCGCCGATCTGGATGGTGCCGTGGGGAAATACCAAAGGTTATGTGGTGCACTCAATCAAGAGCAGTAAAAAGTAATTGACTGAAAGTATCGTCCATGTTTCTGGGCATGTTGGCTCCCTGGAGGACAGCTGCACAAGCAGGAGACAGCACCCTCTTCTGGCCAGTGTCACACTTGCACGGCTGTGACGGATTTCCAACTGACTGGGCTGATTGGCTTTTCCCTTGGGGAGCCCCATCCTGGGTTATTATCAGTCTTGAATAAATAATTTTTTGTTTCCTTCTGCCCTTTGCTCTTTAAAGAAGAAAACCCAGCCAGGCGGTGGTGGTGCTCCCCTTTAGTCCCAGCACTAGGGAGGCTGAGGCAGGTGGATCTCCATGAGCCTGGTCTACCTAGTGAGTTCCAGGACAGGCTCCAAAGCCACACAAAGAAACCCTGTCTTGGACCCAGCGTTGGTGGGGCACGACTTTAATCCCAGCACTTGGGAGACAGAAGCAGGCGGATCTCTGTGAGTTCGAGACCAGCCTGGTCTACAAGAGCTAGTTCCAGGACAGCCTCCAAAGCCACAGAGAAACCCTGTCTCAAAAACAAAAACAAAACAAAACAACAACAACAACAAAACCCTGTCTTGAAATGCCAAAAGAAGAAGAAGATGAAGAAAAAGATGACGAAGAAAAAGAAGAAAGAAAGAAAGAATACTCTTGATGGATAATTTAATGATCAACGTGGACAAGCAAATGGTATGTCCAGTTGTTTGATCAAACACATCTATCCATTACTGTGAAGATATTTTATCTTAATTAATTGGCTTCCACTATTCACTTTCATACAATACCAGTCTATTGTAAACTAAAGTGATCCATTTCCTTATGATAAAAAAGAATCGCAGGGATGAAGAGATGGCTCAGCAGTTAAGAATACTGGCTGGTCTTCCAGAGGTCCTGAGTTCAATTCTCAGCACCCACATGCTGGCTCACAACCATCTATAATAAAATCTGATGCCTTCTTCTGGCATGTGGGTATCCGTGCATAGTACCCATACATAAAATGTAAGTATATAAAATTTAAAATAAAAAGGAATTACAACTATAGCTACATACCTTAAATTGAAACAAAATGCATTCATTAAGGTGGTTTTTATTGATGGTTGTTGTTGTTTGACACAGGGTCCCAAGTAGCTGAGGATAACCATGGACTCCTGGTCCTCTTACCACCTCCTCCCCAGTACTGGAACTGTAAGCACGCTCCACCGTGACCAGTTTTAAAGACAGAATTGTCCATTGTGGAAAAACAAAACAAAACAAAAAAAATGGCAGCAATCACACACACTCCCCGAGAGACCAAAGCCTTGGGCTCTGCACACCCTACCTGCCGCACACAAAGGAAAAGCTGGAGGGGGAAACCAAAGGCTGTGAAGAGAGAAAAGACAGAAGTAATCCTCAAGGATTGTCCTCAAGGTCGTCTGCTAACCCTGCCCTCCAGGGCCAGAGCCCACGCCTGAAAAGTCCCCTGCAAAGAAAGCAGTGAAGGCGTCTCAGAACGGAGAGCGCTAGGCCGACGGAGAGCGCAAGGCGGACACCGACAGGGATGCAGTGGCCCTGCCCCACACGCAGATGCCAATGGGGCAGGCCCCAGGACGGAAGGTGCTGCCCATGTCTGGTGTGGTGTGTGCTTTTAAGGAAGTGCACATTTCTGGCACCTATGCAGTTTTTTCTCAAATTGGATTTCATTTTACTTCCCCCCTAAACTATGCTATGTTGTCAGCATGCAGGACACATCCTGGTATTATTCATTTACCGATTCGTTCGTTCATTCATTATTTATTTGTTTATTTACAGTTGTTCCAGTGTTGGCTGTCTTGTAATTTTCTATGTAGACCAGGCTGGCCTTGAATTTACAGAGATCCACCTGCCTCTGCCTCCAGAGTGCTGGGATTAAAGGTGTGCTCCACCAAGCCAGGCCATCTCTGCGGGTTTTAGTGGAGAGGAAGCAGGTGCCACTAACATAATGTTTCCCAAATGAATTGGGAGGTTGGAGGAGGTGCCTTCCCTCGCTAGTTCTGAGATCGCCTTGCCTCTCAGAAAGAATTCCCTGATGGCACAGTCACAGTAGCCCAAACACCTTATGGTCTGGGAAAACTCAGATTCATTTCTGTGTCCTGACCTCAACTCCCTTAAAACCTGTTGGACTTTGTGGTGGTTTAAATAAGAATGGCCTCCATGCCAGGCAGTGGTGGTGCACACCTTTAATCCCAGCACGCCGGAGACACAGGCAGGTGGATCTCTGTGAGTTCGAGCCCAGCCTGGTCTACAGATTGGACAGTCAAGGGTACACAGCAGGACTCTGTCCCCAAAAAACAACAACAACAACAAAAAAAACAAATAAAGAACAACAAAAAAGAACGGCCTCCATAGGCTCATGTATTTGAACCTTAGTCATCAGGGTGGAACAATTTGAGAAGGATTAGGAGGTGTGGCTTGTGAAGGAGGTGTGTCACTGGGGGATGGGCTTTGAGGTTTCAAAAGCCCACATCAGGCCCAGTCTCTTTCTCTACCTTCTGATTAGGATCAGTGCTTAGCTACTTCTCCAGCACCACGCCTGCCTGCCGCCATGTTCCCTGCCATGATAATGGACTAAGCCTTTGAAACTATTAGCAAGCCCTAATTAAATGCCTTTTTATAAGCATTTATAATATATATATATATATATATATATATATGTATATATGTGCCTTGGTCATAGTGTCTCTTCATAGCAACAGAAAAGTAACTAAGACAGATCTGATTTTCTAAATCTGGTTATGTGTCAGGGGAAAGGGACCAGACTTTCGACATGACATCACGGAGACGACATGTCTCAGAAGAGCCGCCAATGGATCTTCAGAAGGATAACTGTTATTTGCATTTGATTTCCTTAACGTCAAGGTAGGCTTATAAAAAGCTGTATAGCATGCTTACTCTAAACAGATCATCGAATGAGGACTTAGTGTATTCTGTAGTGGATTCCTGATGTTAGCGGTCTACACATGACAGTCATTTGAAGGTTGCATGTTGTTGAAGTCTTCCTTGAAAAGGCATCAGGAAAACCAGTGAAGTCAGGTTGAGTTTGGAGCAATATTTAAGTCAGTACATAGACTTTGAGTCCGGCATATTGCCCTCTGTAATGAAGGTGGGTTCGCCTCATCCAATCAGTTGAAGGCCTTAGGCCCAAAGCTTGAGGCTTCCTGAAGCAGAATTGTCTTTGCTTATGACCAAAGCAACTTGGGGAGGAAAGGGTTTATTTGGCTCATGCTTCCACATCACAGTCCATCATCAGAGGAAGTCAGGACAGGAACTCAAGCAGGGCACGAGTTACAGGACCCACTGTACATGTGGGCTGTGTACTGATCCCAGGCCCTCTGCAAGAGCAACAAGTACCCCCTGAGCCAACTCTCCAAATACTCCTGTGTGTGTGTGTGTGTGTGTGTGTGTGTGTGTGTGTGTCTGCATCTAATTAGGGTTGCTTGCATAAGCATGAGTTGGGACTATTTGCTTGAGCAGTGATACGTCAACAGCAACACCACTGAGATACATGACTTCTATGCTCCCTGAAATCTAGACCAATAAATCCTAATATATATTCCCTGCTAAAATTTATCATACATTGCCTATTGAGCAAAAATATCAGGAAAAGAATGGGCATCTATTGGGTTCAGACAGATTCAACATGGGCTTCCAAATCTTTTTCTGGCAAGTCACACAGGAATCTTTCTTGCAATGGTCTACAGAGACAGATGTGGAAGGTCTTTTGCCCATGGAAGTCTGCTGAAGTCTCATTCACAGTCTAAGGCTGCTAAGAAGGGAGCTACATAGGCAATCTGCTGTGCACCCAGCCATGGCAACTAAACTTGGGCCTCTCCTGATGAGGTCAGGTGTCTATCATGAGCCTTGATGTTTTCAGAAAGCAAGCCTGACTAACTACTTTAACAT